TCTAGACTGGACCCAGCCCCCGTCGCTCGCGGTCTGCCACCTCTCCCGGAGCCCCCCGAGTCTCCCGGTCCCCCCTGCCCTTCCAGGATTGGGAGTCCTGGGCTGGGCTGTCGATCTGTCCGTCAGTCCTTGGGTCAGTCCGTCTGTGCCCAAGGCCACCTCGTCCAGTCCCGTCCCGCCCCATCTGCTACCTCCTCCCCGCCATAGCGGGCCAGCTCCTCCTCGGTAAAGAGCCGCACTGGGGGCCCCCGCTCTGGGGTGCGCGGCGTCTGCTGGGCTCGGACAGCGGCCAAGTTCAAGGCCAGCACCACCGCCAGCAGAAAGTGCCAGAGACACGGCCGCCTCCGCAGCCCCGGAGCCGCCATCGCGAGGGGCGGGGAGGCCGGGCCGGGGAGGGCAGGCTCAGGTTGGCCGAGCCGGGAGAGCCGGAGCCTCCCAGCCCCGCCCCGGCCCTCCGAGCCCGAGCCCGGCTCCTAGCTACCTCCCCACCCTAGATCTGGGCCGACTTTCAACCCCGCCCCATCCGGGAGCTAGAAGGGACTTAGACTTCAGTTTAGTCTAATGCCCTCTCAATCCTCCCTCTCCGTTTCTGTAATTCGCATCTGGAGAAACTGAGGCCTAGAGAGGGGACTTGGTGAGAGAGTCTGCCTGTTGTGCTGGATTCAGTCTGAACTACTGCCTTTTATTAGTTGTGTGAGGTTAAGTGGGTCACATGGCCTCTAAGTGCCTCAGTTTCCTCATCTGTAAAATGAGGATAATAATGCCTGCAAGATGTTGTGAGATACAAATGCACTTTGCAAACTTAAAATTGCTATATGAATAACAGTTATTGTCCCAGGTCACACAAGGAGCTATTGAAAAATTCAAGACTACAATCCAGATTTCCTGACCTCAGTCCTGTATTTCTTCCACTTCATCTCTGCCTTTGAAGTAGAAGAAAGTGAAAAGGTTACATAGAAGAGGGATCCATCGAGATATTGTGTACATTAAAATAATATAAAAATCGATCCCTTTATGGTTAAAAAAATACATCGATACAGTGTTTATGTTGGACACTTAGATTTTTCTTTTGGTCGGGACCTGTGATTTCATTAGTGCAGGGAACTCCTAGGGAGGAGGCTTCCTCTACCAATGAAGAAGGACCACTCTTTGAAATTTGAAATCTTAAGAGAGTTGCCTCAGGTCACTGAAAGGTTAAGTGGTTTGCTAAGGAATGCTTAGCTAACTTGTGTCTCAAGCAGGAATTGAATACATACATATGCTGGATTAGACACACAGACCAGATGCTGTAAGTATTTATTCTCTGTTCTGGGTGCTCAGCCTTTTGTAGAGAAAGGAAACCCTAAGTTTCTTTTAGCTACCTACCATCCGTTTAGAATCATTCATTCTGTATCTCTTTAAGTTGCAAATCTATCATCTTTCTGTCAGGAAAGGTGCTTCATCATTGGTTTGGGGGAATCATCATTGGTTATTGCATTGACCAGAGTGTTCTTAAATCTTTCAAAGCTGTTTGTCTTTGCAGGGTTGTTGTTGTTGGATACATTTTATTCCTGGTTCTGACTGACCATCCCATGTCTTTGACTCTTCTGTGTGTGTATGTGATGAGGTGAAGTGGAAAGGGGGGTTTGAAGCAGATGGAGCAAGCAGGATGCAGTCTATGAGATATGAGAAAAGATGCAGGATGTGACCAGCCAGAAAAGTGATCCAGGAACCTATGCATTGAAGCCCCCCCACTGTGGACTTAACTGTGTACTTTCACAAAGCACCCCCCAACTACCTGACATTCCAGAACAGCTCTTCCCCTCTCCTTTCCTGTTCCCTTTGCTTATCTTTAATGGACTATATGGCATTCTGGAGCAGTGTTTTTCCTCCCATTCTCCTGCTCCCCTTCCCTCTCTCCTGACAACTAACCCGGCTCAGTGCTCTGCCTCCCCCCCCCCCCAGCAGGGCTGGATGAGTGCATCACCCCAATAAATGAACAAATTCATTCAAGATACCATTATTCCTCATCATTCTGGTGCACCCCAACATTTTGGGTGCCTGTGAACCCCAACCTGTGTTCACATAAGCTTGCCACTTGGGGGTCCACCTAACATGCTAAATTTCTAGTGACATCTAACATTCTCAATATCAAATGACAATAACAAGAAACCAACAGAGCCTTTCCACATCACTAGTCCCTCTTCTCTTCCCATCATGCATTTCCTTGAGGGCTGACGTCTTTTACTCCCATTCTGTAAAGTTCCTCATTGCTTACACTTTGCAACCTACTTATACTCACCATGTGTCTCTATCCATTGCCCTCTGAGAGAAACTATTTTAATTTTTTGAAAACTGTTGAATTCCATGGTTTTTTTTTGTGGGGGCAGGGAAAGAAGAATAGAACAAGCTTTTATTAAGTACCTAGGGGGGTGCCAGGCACCGTATGTACAAAGAAGCTAAGTATCTATGTACAAAGAAACTATACACAGGATAAAGTGGAAATAATCAACAAAGGGAAGGCATTAGAATTAAGGAATCTGGGAAAGGAATTAAGGAAATTAAGGAATTGGGAAAGACTTCTTGTAGATGGTGAAATGTTAGCTGGGCCTTGAGGGAAGCCAGATGTAGATGATGTAGATGAAAAGAGCGAATTCCAGACAGGGGGTGGGGGTGAGGTGGGGATGGGGGAGTGGGGGAGGGTGCGTGGAGATAGAAAATGGAGTGTCTTGTTTAAGAAACAGCAAAGAGTCCAAGGTCACAGGATCTTAGAGAGCAAGATGGTGGTGATGGTGGTGGTGGTGGTAGAAAGTGTAAGAAGACAGGAAAGATATGGGGTGGGGGGATCAGATTTTGTAGGGCTTTGCATTCTAAATAGAGAATTTTATATTTGGCTCTGGAGGTGATAGGGAATCACTAAAATTTATCAAGTGGTGGTTTTGGAGAAGGGAGAATGACAGCATCAGACTTGTACTTTAGGAAGATCATTTTGACAGCTGAATGGGGGATGTACTAAAGAGCAGAGAGACTTGTGGTAGACAGACCAGTCTGGAGGCTATTTCAATAGCTGACGTGTGAGGTGATGAATCAGGGTGGTTGTAGTGTCAGGAGAGAGAAGGTTACATATATGAGAGATGTCATGAAGGTAAAATCCACAGGCTTTGGCAACAAATTGGCTATGGCTGGGGGGCAGGGAAGGTGAGGGTGAGAAGTTGAGGATGACATCTAAGTTACCAGCGTTGGTGACTGGGAGGATGGAGGCACAATCATTCGTATCAAGGAAGTTAGGAAGAGGTTTTTTTGGGAGGAGAAGATAATGAGTTCAGTTTTGGAAATCATGAGTTTAAGAAGTCTATGATACATCTAATTTGAGATGCACAGTAGGCAGTTGGAGATGTGAGACAGGAAATCAGCACAGAGATTAGGAGTAGATATATAGATTTGAGATGTGTGAAGCTTAGTTTTCCTCTTCCTCTGGGCCTAAGTCTAAATTTTTTCTTATAACTTTTATCTAATTGCTCCAAGTTCTGCCCCCAGGGCCCAAACTAAGTGTACCCAGAAGAAAGTAGCAGTAACTGCCCCTAAGGTGAATTCAATTGAATTGATGGAGGGGCAGAGGACAATCAGTCCCATAGTTTGACTAGGAGGGCCTACTTAGAGCCATGTACCATCCAACTCCTTTTTCATATAACCACCCTTCGAAAACTTGAAAATAGTTACTGCATTTTTTCTAAATCTTCTGTTTTTCAGACTACACATCCCTATTCCTTTAACTAACCATCTTATCGTATGAACTTCAGGCCCTTCACCATTCTGGATCCTCTCCTCTGGATATTCTTCTAGCTTAACAATTTCTTTCCTAACTCAATTAAAAAAAAAAGAATGTTTAAAATTATCTTTATATGTAATTGGGGGAAAATAAAATATTTTTTTAAAAATAAAAGAAAAAAAACCAATTTCTTGCCTAAGCAGTGGTGTCTTGTACAGAATACAATACTCCTTTTGTGATCTGCCCAGAGGAAAGTGCAGGGAAGATCAATTAATTGGTCAATAAATGTTTATTCAACACCTACCAGGTGTCAGTCACTGTGCTAAATGCTAGGGATGTAAAGAAAGGGGAAAGGAAGTCTGCTCTCGAGGTACCATCACCTCCTTATTTAGATCACCAAGGAGGAAAGAGGAAAGAGAAGAGAAGGGAGAGACGAAAAAGCCAAGGACAACTAGCTTGGTGACATCACTTCCCTTCTTGAGGCCTCCCTCAGTTTACTTTTTTTTTTAATAAAATGGGGAGTTGGGTTAGATGAGATGCTTTCAAAGAGCCTTTCCAGCTCTGACATTCTGCGTTTCCCCCCCAAGTTATGCTGACTGCTTGCCCATCTAAGAAGGAAGAAGCTCATTCTTGTTTGTGCACCCAAATATGCTTGGGGTGAGTAGAGTTGCCGTCCCACAGTGGAAGGAGAGAGGATACAGGTCTGCAGCTGCAGTGGGCACAGAGCTGCATTCATTAAGGTATAAGCAGCCAACTATTTGCTCCTCTCGTCTGAAACCTCAGACAGGCACACAAAGAAAGACCATTCATTCCCAGCTGCCTGAGAGCTCTCACTTGTAATCTCTGAGGAGGACTGAGTCAGGAAGATGTGGCCATTGAGTTCCAATGCTGCCACATGGGCAAAGCCAAGTTCTCCTCTAAAGTTAAACTTGGACTCCAAAGTTAAAGCTTGCATGCTCAGGACACGCTTATGTCTTAAATTACAAGACTCTAGCATATTTTCGACTTGGCTACCCTTTTTTCCCCCATCCACTCAACTCTCCGACTTCCCCGTCTCCCTCTGAAGAAAAAAAAATTATAGAGAAAAAAAAATTGTGCAACTGGGCAAACTGGCCCCGTTCCTTCCTGTACTACAGTTAACAACAGTCTCTGAATCGCTCCCAATGGAGGACTACATTTCCCAGCAAGCTCTGAAATCAGCCCTCTTTCAACCCCGACAATCGCCTTCAGGCGAGACGCATGCGCCCCAGAACCTCCCGGGGGGCCGGCACTCCCGGTAAGGTTCTGTTGAATCCGTTTACCCTCGCACTGTTCACTGTCCTTGCTGCTTCCCATCCTTGCGGTCCTCCTCCTTCTCTGCCCCGGGGAGCAGTGCTAGCTCCGGGCTGCAGCATCTCTTTCAGTCGATGCCATGATCAGGCAGGAGCTGTCTTCATCTTATCAGGAGGTACTGGGGAGCCAGGGGCAAAAGAAAAGTTTATTGGGGTGGCGAGGGAGGTGGGGGGAGGGTCGTGGGCGTCACCTTCTCAAGCACTAGTTGCAAAGGCAGATTGTGTGTGTGTGTGTGTGTGTGTGTGTGTGTGTCTGTGTGTCTGTGTGTTCGCTTGTGTGCAAAGAAAACTGGCTGCAAAAGAACTCAAGCTGTCTCCACTTGCTGGGACACTTAGGAAGCCCCATAATCCGAAGAGGAGTAGTTAAATAACCAGCAGGTGAATGATTCATGCACTGGCAGAAGTGAAGCCAGACTAGAGCTGGGACCCCTGGACTGCCCTAGGGAGCGGGAAGTTTGCAAAGAGTTAGAAGTGCACTTTACTCTTCTGCCATCGTGACCAGATGGCATCACCTTTTCCTTCCCAGGTCCTCTAGGCTCATGGCCAGGCTGGTTAGTAATAATAATAATAATAATAATAATAATAATAATAATAATAATAATAATAATAATAATAATATTTACACCCATATACACTATTAACTTTTTGCAAGAGCTTTCACCTGTCTCCTCTCTGTACACTGTCTCCCTCATTGAAGACACCCACTCATTCAGTTTTAACTACCACCTCTGTGCAGATGATCCCCAAATCTTGTTCTACAGCCCTGGGCCTTTTCCTTGAGCTCCAATCAGATACATTTCCTGCTGGAATGACGTTTCCAATTTGGATGGCTCAGTGCCACTGCAAGCTATCTAAAACCAGACTCATCTTCCCCTCCCCCAAACCTGCTTGTCCTCTGGACTTCCCTATTTCCACCAGTGGCATCACTGTTCTCATAGTCACCCAAGCTTGAAATCTCAGTGTCAGTCTCAGACTGGCTGCTCCTTTCTCCGTTTTCATCCCTCCCCTCCTCTTCCCCATTTCTAGTCAGCTTGTTGCCAAGACCTGTTAATTAATTAATTAGTTCTTCCTCCAAAGTGTCTCATGCATCTTTTTGCTGACTTGACCGTTCTATTCCCACTATCCACACCCACACCAGGATGACTGCAGAGCCTTGAAACTTTTTTCCTATACTTCAACAGCTCATTCCTCCAAATTCCTTCACATTATTGCAAGATTGATTTTCCTAAAGAGGCAGCTTGGCATAACTCTGACATATACCTTGTATGACTGTGGGTGAGTCACTTAATTTCTCTGTGTTCTAGACTGCTTCACAAGACTTCAAGTTGCAGAAAAGGTCAATGACCTGCAGTGGTAGAATTTCCTTACTGGGGATTTCCTTGTGCCAGGGAAATTACAGTTCTAGTTGCCATTCCTATAGTGATCTTATAATTTCGCTCCTATGGTCAAACAACTTCAATGCCTGGCCATTACCTCTGGAACAAAATTGTAACAACCTTGCCTGGAACTCAAGGTTCCCCTACCGATTCAACTTTATCTCCCACATTCTTGGTACATATACATTCAGTTTTAGTTTTAGCCAAATTCATCTGTGCATTTTTCCTCATATATGTTCCATATTTTCCAGTCTTTGTTTTGCCTGGAATGCCTCTGTTCACCTGCCCAAATTCTACTCCTCCTTGGAGAACTAGCTCAAATGCTCCTTCCTCAAAGCCTCCTCCTAGCTGAAAGTAATCTTTGCCTTTTCTAAACTCTCATAGTTTTTTGTATCCTCATAACAATTTGGTGAAATATGTGTGGTAGAGTATCGTTATCCCTATTTGACAGGCCAAGGAACTGCATCATGCAGCTAGCTAATGGTAGCCCCAGTATTAGAACTTGGCTCTGGGTCAGGTTCCTTTCTTCTCTCTTCATTCCATCCCTATTGACAGTAGTATACTGTTGGCTATGGAATAATAACATCTCAGAGTCCATCTAGTCTAATCCTTAGCAAAGCAGGAATGTTCTCTACAACAGTGGGGCAAACTCCAATAGAAATAGAGGTCACTAAACCCTTCATTAGAAAACCACAAATTAACATTATCTATACAGTATTGCATTTTTATCTTGTTAAACATTTCTCAGGGCAGCCAGGTAGCACAGTGGATAGAGCACTGGCCCTGGAATCAGGAGGACCTGAGTTCAAATCCAGCCTCAGACACATGATACTCACTAGCTGTGTGACCCTGGGCAAGTCCCTTAACCCAAGTGCCTCACCAAAAAACAAAAACAACAACCAAAAAAAAAATTCCCAATTACATTTTACTTTGATTCTGGCCACACTAGGGGCTGGCAGAGTTTGACACCTCTGCTCTACATCATCCCCCAAGAAGTATTTAGCTAGCTTCCTCCTGAGAACTCCAGTGATGGGAAACTCCCTCCCAAGCGAATCCATTATAGTTTTGGGAATCTCTAACTCAAGTCATTGAATACTTCCAATTCAATATCCCTTGTAATAACAAGTCCCACTTACATGGCACTTTAAAGTTTGTCGGATGCTTTATATACATCATCTCATTTCAGTCAATCGATCAACTTACCTGCTCAATGCTAGTCACTGTGTTAGGCTCTGGGATTCAAAGGCAAAGATGAAACTGTCCTTGCTTTCAAGGACCTTACATTCTATCTCATTTGATCTTTGCTACAACTCTCTGAGTAGGTGTTATTATTAGTCCCATTTTATTAATGAGGCAGTGAAGACTCAAAAAATTTAAGAGATTTGTCCAGGGTCACATGGGTTTTGAGGATCTGAGGTAGGATTCAAATTCAGCCTTTCTTGACTCCAAGTATCATTCTGTCCACTGAGCCACACTACCTCTCTCTATGTAGAGAGGACTGAACTGGACTGGGAACCATAAGAAAAACCATCTGATGGAGACGTGGTTCCTGGAAACTCCCAGTCAAATAGGGGAGACCTACCTCCTGTCACTGGGAGAATTAGAATCATTTGTTCCATTTCAGTTGAACCAAGCTCCTCTATCTGAAACCATTCAGTCATTAAAATAGTATCAGTGCACCTGCAGGGACAAAAAAGAATGGTTAGATAAGGAGTCATCATATTTGTTTTGAGTATCCTTATATTGCATACCTGAAATAGGGTTGTTCTAGATTTGGGCTATAGCCAGTGTGTTTCTGAGATTCTTGCCCTTTGATTCATACTGGAGGAAAATGTAATTTGGATAGCTGTCTATGTAGTTCTTGCCTTGGGAGAGAATTTAGCTTGGGGTTATGATATTTGCTGAGTGCAGATTTCTTTGGCCTGGGTCATGTGAATGAGTGAGCATGTTTAGAACTTACTTTAGAAAGTGTATATGGAACTTTGTTGGGGAGAGTGGGAGTTGGAGTCTAGAAGACTGTGGAAAAAGAAAGGAGCCAGCTACTGAATGGCAGGTTCTTCAGAGCCACTGTGCCCTTGACCTAAATAAGTAACTGAAACTCAAATATTCTTTAGGGTCTTGAGATGCAGTATGACTTACCAGATAGAGAACCAGCCTTGGAGTTACAAAGTTCCTTAACTCCTGACTGTCCCATACTATGATTTGGTAATCTCATCACTAAAACAAGTTTCTACACTTATATGTGGATCCAGATCTGGTCTGATCATAGGTCTAGACAGAAACAAAACAAAACAGACCTTTGAAGACAACCACCTCAGCTGTTTCCTTAAGTGTGAGCCCACAGCTGTGGCAAGCCTTACCTCTATCCCAGCCTCTGTCACACTACCATCCTTCCCAATTTCTTTTTTTTTTTTTGCTTTTTGGTGAGGCAGTTGGAGTTAAGTGACTTGCCCAGGGTCACACAGCTAGTAAGTATCGTGTCTGAGGCTGGATTTGAACTCAGCTTCTCCTGACTTCAAGGCCAGAGCTCTATCCACTGTGCCATCTAGCTGCCCCCCAATTTCTTTCTAGTTACTTTCATACTTTGTTTATCTTTTTAAAAAAATACAGTAATAATTATCAAGATGACTTGAATTCACATAGAACCACCTTAAAAATTCAGAGAAATTTCTCATGTTATTTCATCATTTTGATGAGAGTTAGTGTAGCGTGCTGACTAGAGAGCTGGCCTTGAAGACAGGAAGACCTGGGTTCAAGTCCTGTCTATGTTACATAACTCTGTGACCTTAAAGGCAGCTAGGTGGTGCAGTGGATAGAGCTCTGGGCCTGGAGTCAGGAAGACCTGAATTCAAATACAGCCTCAGACACTAGCTGTCTGACCCTGGGTAAATTACTTAACTTTTATCTGCCTCAGTTTCCTCAACTGTGAAATGGGGATCATAATAGTACCTACCTCCCAGGGTTGTTGTGAGGATCAAATAATATATTTGTAAAGCACTAAACACAGTGCCTAGCACATAGTAGGGCCTTAAGAAATACTTGTTCACTTTCCTTCCACTCCCCTGGGCAAGTTACTTAACATCTCAGTGCTTTAGGCAACCGTAAGTTGCCAAGAAGGTACTGATCTGCATTGGTAGAGGGAGTTTCCTCACCTGGGAATTCTTTATACCAGTGAAGACACCAGTCCCTATACCTGTCCTTCTGATAGCCTTGCAGTATGACAGGAGAACTTACTGTCTGTGTCATACAAAGAATTTAGTCTGGAGAAGATTTCTGGGGCATAGGATAGTTCTAACATTTGAAAGGCTGCTATATAGAAAAAAATATTAGACTTGTTTTGTATTATTAGTCCAGAAACAGGCCTGGGTAGGAATTTCCAAGGGATAAAATTCAACTTAAGATAAGGAAAAAACTTCTAACTTCTAGAACTGTCCAACAATAGAATGGGTTGGTTTGTGCTAAGTGGTGAACTCTTGGTCACTAGAAGTATTCAGGCAGAGGCTGTTGCAGAAAACATTCTTGCAATGAGTAGTTTAGAACAGATGATGTCTAAGGATCCTTCCAACTCTTAAGATCCTTTGTAACATAATGCGTGATGATATGTTGTATACCTATGGAGAAGTCTGTGTGATGTATTGAATGGAAAAAACATTGGACTTGGGAATTAAGTGACTGGAATAAAATATCTACCAGCCCATTGGCTGGAAAATGAGGATGATAATATTTGTTCTACCTGTCTAACTATACTATATAAAGGTCCATTTTTATTACCACTGCTATGATCATATATCCCCATTTTACAATCTGCAAGATCATGAAGCCAATGAATGGTAGAGTGGTCCCCTTGCCCACAGAGCAGATCTTTTCTAGGATTTAGCAACTGGTTATGAGGGACTAAGGAGAGCCTCTGAGAATCACTGGCAATCTCTCTCTCTCTCTCTCTCTCTCTCTCTCTCTCTCTCTCTCTCTCTCTCTCTTACTCTCTCCTCTTAAATCTTTCTGCTTTTTAAAAATTTATTTTTTGTTTATTTTTAACATTCTTTTTTAAAAATTTTGAGTTCCAAATTCTCTCTCCCTCCCTTCCCCCACCCACTAAGGAGGCAAGCAATATGATATCAATTATACATGTGAAATCATGCAAAAAATATTAGCCATATCAAAAAGACCCAAGAAAAATAAAGTGAGAAAATTATACTTTAATTTGTACTCAGAATTCATCAGTTCTTTCTCTGGAGGAGAAAGGTAGCATTTTCCCTCCTGAGTCCTTTGGAACTGTCTTGGGTCATTGTTTTGATCAGAGTAGCTAAGTCTCTCACAGTTGATCATTGTTACAGTTTTGCTGTTACTGTGTGCAATGCTCTGGTTCTGCTCACCTCACTTTGCATCAGTTCATATAAGCCTTCCCAGGTTTTTCTGAAACAATCTCCCTCTTCCTTTCTTATAGAACAATAGTACTCCATCACAATCATATGCTACAACTTGTTCATCCATTTCCCAATTGATGAGCATCACCTCAAATCATTGGCAATTTTAAAACATAGATAGGAAAGACAAGGAAAAGAGAGGAGAAAAAAATAGAAATCAGAGGAATAGGAGTAGAAGAGAGAATAATTTCCAGTATACTCTAAACAGTAGCAATGCTACTTTCCTGGATTGAGGTTAATAAAGTCAAAATCATAAAAATAAGAGAGTAGAACAGAATGAATTAATAACCAATACTCGTGTTCATATAGTGTTTTAAGGCTGACAAGGCACCTTTTCACAATAATGTTAGGAGATTGGTTGTGTAAGTATTATTCTCATTTTGCAAATGAAAAAACTGAGGCTCATCATTGAAGTGCCTAGCTGAAGGTCATACCATTAAGAGCTGGGATTCAGGCCCAGGTCTTCTTGCTATATATCCGGTGCTCTTTGCACCATGACACACTGGTGTAGTGGGGGAGGGGAGGGGCCCTGAGGATGAGGCCAGCCACTTGTGATATGGCAGGTTCCATATCGTCACTGATCCTTTGCTTGACGGTCTTTCTCTCTTAGCTAAATGAAGAGCTGGATCAAGTGGTTGAGAATTCAGATAGAGTGGAGGAGAAAGAAAGGAAGGACTCCAAGGACAAAGGCTCAGGTATTTTGCCAGGTGAGTTGGGGAATGAGTACCAGGGTAGGGGAGCAGGGGTGGAAAGGGGAGGGGCAGCAGGAATACAGTGGGTTGGGTTGGGGTAGAGCTCATGTGTCTTTATGGCTTTGATGCAAAGAGTCTTCAGTAAAGCATCAGGAGCAGCAAGAACCCTCCACCTAGGGGCTGGAGAATGGCTCTGAGTGGGTGAGTGAATACCCTCATCTGTCTTTGGTGTCTGGTTACTGAACTTGCTCTTCTGTCCCAGAGAGGAGATCCCTGTTCCCTTATTTCTGAAGCTGTACATATTTAACAAGATTGTGCAGATGGAGGACTCATGATGGAGAATGCCATCCCTTCAGTCTAGCTATGTCTCACACCCAGGGGTAGGCTGATCTCTCCCAAAGCTGTCTGGGGAGGCTCAATGACGCCAGGCCACTTGGTGGAGTATCTAGAAGTTCAAAGGTTTCCCACTGCCTCCCTCCCTGCCAAGAGGTTACTCCTCAGAGTGCCCCTCAGGGCACATAGGTCAGTGCCTTTGGGGGAGTCCCCTGTAGTTCTCTTCAGGCATCACTCAGTACCATGACTTCTTTAAGTCATGGTCTCCTTGGGGAGTCTGGTGAATCCTATGGACCCCTTCTCAGAATAATGTTTTTAAATGTACAAAATAAAATACATAAAATATATTTTAGGGATTACAGATGAAACCAATTACATTAAAATACAGTTATTCAAATATTAAAAGAAAAACACTCATGGACCCCAGGTTAAGAACGCCTGGTATAGTGGGAAGGGATCTGGACTTGTCGTCAGGAGCCCTGGGTTCAAATTTTATCTCTTGGCACTGGCTGTGTGATCAGGTCCTTGAGTCCTAGTTTTCTTATCTTTTAATGTGGGATAGTAACCCTGGCACTATGTATCTTACAGTGCTGTTGTAAGAAAACCTGCTTTGTGAGGTGCCAGGAGAATATGAGCACTTGTTATCTCTGGGATGGGTACACTTGCAGCCTGCCAGACAGGTCGGTTGACATGTGATACGTAGTCTCGGCCTTTCTTAAGTTTCGGCTAAACTTGATGCCCTTTCTTCCTGTACTTGCATCGGGGAGGGTAATGAACTAGGAAAGTCTATGAAGTCGCTGGCTGTCATGCAGTTAGTCAGGAAAGGCTCTCTAGAGGAGACAGGCATCTTCGCAGGAACCATTGGCCTCCCAGGGACCCGAGACGCAGAACAGAATCACAGAAGCACAAACACTCGGCATTGAATGAGACCGCAGGGGACATCTAGTCCTGTACAAGACACCCAACACGTGATCATGCAGCCTTTTCTTGAGGACCTCCTGTGACAACAAATCCGCTGCCTTCTGGGCTAGCTCATTTTCACTTCTGGATAGTTCTTATTGTTAGGAACTTTGGCTTTAAATTGAGCTCCAAATGTATCACAGCTTTCCCCTATTATTCCTAGTACTACCTTCAGGGCCCAAGCAGAACAAATTTAGTCCTTTCTTTTGACCTTTAACACTAGAAAAAAGAGAGCAGAACACAAAAAGAGGATTGGATAGGAAACCATGAATCTCTATTATATACATACATATATATGTATGTATGTATGTATGTATATATATATATATATATATATATGTATATATAAAGAGTATATAATAAATTCCATACCTGATCTTCTTTCCAGCCCTTTAAATACTTGAATACAGATAGCATATTTCCCCTAAGTCTTCTCTTCTCAAGGCTAAACACCCCTTGTTCCTTCAACTGATGGTTAAATGGTATGGTCCTCCAGTCCCTTCACTGTCTAGGTCATCATCTTCTGAGTTTGTGTTCTCTAGTTTGTCCGTGCCCTTCCTAAAGCATGGTGCACAGAACTAAATATAGTACTCCCAATGTGTAAGGACACTCTCAAGGCCTCTTTGAAGAACTCTGGAATCAATTGTGAGACATAGGAGACACTGGCATAGGACCGTCCAGCATGGTGTGCCCTCGTGAAAGACACTGGATCAGACAGTGAGGTCCTCTCTCGAGCTGCAGTGCCAAACTTTCAAACTCTACTGCAGAGAACACAACTCTGATGGATTGGCCATGTTGTTCGAATGCCAAATGTATGTTGCTTGAAAGACTTTTATGGAGAACTCAGGCAAGGGAGATGCATATGCAGAGGTAGGAAGAAGGGATACAAAGACACTCTCAAGGCCTCTCTGAAGAATTTTGGAATTGATTGCATGACATCGGAGATACTGGCAAAGGACCTCTCAGCATGGTGTGCCCACATCAAAAAAGATGATATGTTCTATGAGCAAAGCAGAATTGCAGGAGCTAAAAAGAAACATAAATGTGCAAATTTAGAGGTATCTCCACTCCAAATGTTCATAGGGATTATTTGTGCCCAACCTGTGGTATAGCTCATATTGGTGTGATCAGCCACAGTCGGACACACTGTCCTTTGATCCCAACATAGTGATGTTATTTTGGTCCTCTTCAGGAGCAAGGGACCACAGCCAACCAACCTACTCCCGATGTGATGTGAGCAGGTTAAAGGCCAGTGGCATCATTACTTCCCTCAGTATCCATACTATGTCTCTCTCAGTGCAGCCTAAGGTTTGACACCTTCATGACACTCATGCCGTATGCCGTAGAGAGACTCATTGAACTGGCAGCTATGTTAAAACAAACAAAAAGCTACTGCTTGAACTGCTCTCTACCTACCTCTCTTCCCATTCTGTTTGTGTGAAGGCGACTTTTTTAACCCACTAAAAGAATGTGAGAACTTGCTAGGCTAATTCCACAGGAGGATCTTTCTTTGGTGTTTTCTTTTATTGAAGGAAAGACTAGTCAGGAAGTGATTGTAGGGAATTTTAGCCTTGTCAGCCTCTCTGTTTTTTAGTCTCCTTGTTTAAGGCTCCAGGGCATTATACAAACTCAGATCAGGAAGTGAAGTCCTAGACTGGCATCTTCTGCTTTCAGATCTGGAGGGTTATCTAGGAAGTTTCACTGACAGCCAAGATCCCTGTTTCCTGCCTTCAGGAGACAAAGGTCTGGCTTATCTTTTTTTTTTTCTCTCTCTCTCTCTTTTAAAGAATAGAGGTAGACACCAACAAGATTCCAGTCAGATGGGAAACTTTGAGATCAGAGATAGCCTAGAGGTTTCTGGAAGGATGTAGGTTCTTATTGAAATGACTTTGTTTCTATTTTCTTTTTACAAATACGTAATTTTAGTTATTTCATTAAATATTTCCTAATTACATGCAAAAAGTTAACTTTCATTTTTAAACACTTTAGGTTCCAAATTCTCTCCTTCCTTTCCACCCTTCCCCCCTCCTTGAGAAGGCAAGCATTTTGATATTGATTATACATGTGAAGTCATGCAAAATATATTTCCATTTTAGCCATGCTGCAAAAGAAAACACAGACCAAAAAGAAAAAAAAGTAGACATAGTATCCTTCAATCTGCGTTCAGAGTTCATCAGTTTTCTCTCTGGAGTTGGATAGCATTTTTCATGATGCATCCTTTGGAATTGTCTTGTATTTACTTTCAAAATGTTCCATGTTTACTTATCAGTGTACATGTGTTCACTGCCACCCCTTTTCACCAAATACAATATGAACTCCCAAGTAAGACTTTCATTTTCAAATCTTGGGATCCCCAGCACTTATCACAATGCCTTGCATATAGTATGTGCTTAATAAATGCATGTTTAATTAAATCCAGCAAGTCATTTTTTAAAAATATTCTTTTATTGCTACCTTTTAGGGAGCCATCTCTTATAATAAAGAAGTTTTTTAAAAAGAGGAAGAAAAAAGTTCAGGAAAACGAACCAAAATAATCAAAAAAGTCTGATGTACATGCAGTGTGCCACACCCTCGTCCCCTGCATCTGAAAAAAAAATAATAAAGCAGTGGGTTTTTGTGGGGTCATTGTGTTCCCCTGTTCCCTCTTTGGGGCTGAGCTTGATCACTGTAATTTTGAAGTATTGGGTTTTGATTTGGTTTTCACTGTTGTTACTGCATTTGCATTGTTGTGGTCATTATGGATATCATGTTCCTGGCTCTGTTTTCTTTATCTCTTTCTACATTTTCCCATGTTTCTTGGTAATCTTGTTGATGGTTTTTTACAACATAATAATATTCTATTTCATTGACATTGTGCATCTTACAGTGTAGTCTAAACCATTCCTCAGTTGATAGGCATTTGCTTTGTTTCCAGCTCTTTGTTTTTACAAAAGGTGCTACTCTCAATATTTTGGTGTGTATGGGACCTTTATTTTGGTCGTGGAATGTATTGGAGTCAATGCCTAGCAGTGGGTTCTCAGGGTCAAATGGTGTGGGTTTTATTGTCATTTTCTCAGCAACTCAATTTAAAAATTTTTAAAAGAACTTTTCTTATTTCAGACCTTTTATGGTTGAGTTGTTTCAGTCATGTCTGATTCTCTGTGACCCCAGTTGGAGTTTTCTTGACAAAGATACTGGAGTGGTCTGCCATTTCCTTCTCCAGCTCATTTTGTAGATGAGGAAACTGAGGCAAACAGGGTTAAATGACTTGCCCATATAGCTAGTGAATGTCTAAGGTCAGATTTGAACTTAGATCCTCCTGACTCCAGAGCTGGTGCTTTATCCACTGTGCCACCTAGCTGCCCCACTTGAAACTTAACAAACATTATATAAAATAAGTATTTCCATGTATACAGTAGAACATGAAAATGCAAATCTCTATTATTTTCAGCTTGATTTTCTTTTAAAATACATATTAAATTCAAGTGTACCTCTCGAAGCTGTCTTACTAATCTGTGATTCTTTCTGTCTTTTTGTTCTCTATACATTTTAAAAAATGCTTTGATGACCTTTCTGTCTTTTTTTCTTTCTTTCCTTCCTTCCTTCTTTCTTCTTTTCTTCCTTTCTTTGTTTCTTCTTCCCCTATTCCTAATCGTAACTCTCCCTCCCAGCCCTTCAAAGAAAAACCAAAGGAAACACAAAACCCAAGTAACAAATATTCAGCAAGTCGATTTAAGAGACAT